TAGTATATATATATATATATATATATATATATATATATATATGCATTGGAAAAAGAAAAGGTGAGAAATAGAAGTATAGAAAATGCGAGCAATGCAATAAATGCAGTTTTTCTTATTCGAAACGCAGCTTTACTTATGCCGTTATGTTCATGAAATTACAGGTGTGAAATCTCTTATCTTTTCTTATTCCAAAGAAAAATCGATAAACGTTCTCTATTTAACGCGTGACGTCATAGAATGTAACGCACATACATATATATATAGGTGTCACGGTACTTGTTGATCCGACAGATTTATTGTTCGAAAAACCGTATGCGAAGGAGGTGAGTATTATACGTGGTGCGATAGACAGCCTGTTGTATTTGTTGTAAGTTCCCCTTACATCGTCCCGCGATAAGCGTTATCACGTTGCTAAAGTGGTTTGAAAGCCAATATAAGTGTTGCTCCACTTAAGAGATAAAGGTGACAGCTGTCACTTGAGTATCTTATATCAACTGATGTGCACGGACGGAATGTACGCCCAGTCATCTAATAATATTTGTGTTTCATCCATAAAACGCAATTTTTCCTTCTTGTTTTTTTATAAGCATTAATCATATATGTTAGATTAAATGTAAATATTAATTTGTTTTTCTTTATTATCGTGATACGTTCTTAATTGTCCCGTTCTTCCAGAATCGTGTGTATTTTGTTTTTTATATAGAAAAATATTCCTTTATTGTCTGTCATCGTCTTTTGTTAGTTTGTATTTCACCTGTTGCTCGTCCAAAGTTAATGCCTGCATGAAAAGAAAATTATTTTTATTATTTGGATTTACACATAATGTCAAATTATCCGTATGAGTATGAAAGATGTTTAGGTATGTTAAATAAGTTAAAAGTTTAATAAGTTTAATCATATAATCTTATATAATACACAAAAACATTGATAAATAAACTTATGTATTCTGTACTTTGATGTCCACTTTATATATTACTTCCCAACAAGAGTATTTGTTAATTTCTATCTTTATCATTTATTAATATATTTATCAAGATATTTGTTACATTGTTATTAATATATTGTTATTAATATAAGCAAAATATTTCTAGATATGGAACAAATAGGAGAGTCGCCTCAAAGGCAAACTCACTCTCTAGAGGGTTTCGTTCCTCTCCTCGGTCTTACGGAAGGATGTGGTGCACTTCTCGTGATCCTGATATTTGTATGGACAAGTTTCTATAGAAATGGTTTTTCATGGAGATCAAATCCGGGACTTGAATTCAATTGGCATCCCTTGTTAATGGTCATAGGATTTGTGTTTTTGTATGCCAATGGTACGAATTTCTTTTTATTGTTCTATGCTCTCGTGCACATAATAATTTATGTATGTTCTCTATTTACAGCCATGCTCATCTATAGAACGCAACGAAACGTTCGCAAACGCCGATTAAAGTTGATCCATGCAGGATTGATGTTATTTATTGTATTGTTGATTGTGATCGCTTTAATAGCAGTCTTCGACAGCCACAATCTAGCTTCGTCACCTATACCGAACATGTATACATTGCATAGCTGGGTCGGATTGACCACCGTAATATTATTCTGTTGTCAGGTAGAATCCGTGGAATTTACTCAATAATCTTTGATTCGTAGATACATGTATAGACATTTTGCATTTATAGTGGGTTGCTGGATGTATCACGTTCCTCTTTCCTGGATTGCAAACTCCATTACGAGCTTCCTATATGCCGATACATGTGTATTTTGGCGTCGCAGCCTTCATCGGCGCTATTGCTTCGTGTTTACTAGGACTTAACGAGAAAGCAATCTTCACATTAAAGTCAGTAGCGATAGACTCCTCCAAAAAAGTAAACAAGCGTGATTGGGCATACAAAGATACATTTTTTCGCTTGAAATTTCAGGAACAAGTACGCAGATTTTGATGGTGAAGGAGTACTAATGAACTGTATAGGATTGCTGCTCATATCATTCGGAGGTTTATCCGTATATTTGGTGACACAGGAACGTTATCGACGTCTACCAAGACCCGAAGATGAAGTCTTGCTATCTGGTTAATGTATGAATTGTGATGTTACTTGATCTGCTTTCCTTAATGTCAACAATATCAAGTTATTCAAACTCAACGTACTTACTATAAGATTTTGATACGTTGCAACTTTATATTAAATAATTTATAAATATGATTTGACTTATTGGGGCACAAGGAATAAGAAACATTAATATTTATAGTATTAATTCTTTAAGTTCTAGTCTGAATATATTTTTTACTAATTTTTCAATATTTTCATAGAGATAAAAATAGAGTAGATAAAAAAAAAAATATATATATATATATATTAATGTAAAAGCAATTTTATTTTTCTTAAAACTTTTTGGTGCTAGATTTACTTATCATGTATACACATATGATATACATATAATATGCAGTCTCAATAATATGCGATGTCTATTTTGCGAATGAATTGATATACAAATGTAATATATATAATAATATATAAACATGTTACATGAATATACATACATGATTTCATTTTAATGTGCAATTCTAGTGTGCATGGTATTGTCGTATGTGTGCGTGTGTGTGCGTGCGTGTGGTAAATACTTCTCTAAGGATTCTGTAGAATAAGTTAATACTTGCATTTAAATGTGAGAAACAAATCATCATTCATTTGTAATATTTTCTAAGAACTGCTGTCAGATTGTTTCCTAAAGAACATCGAGATAGTCAGTTCATTTGATCTCATCTTTCTCCAATGTTTATTTCTGCAGATTAACTTTGATCTCATGATTTAATTTATTATTTCTTTAATTCTTAGAACTTAATATCAAAATTAATCTATATTCATAGAAATGGATATCTGCAATTTTTCATAGTTCTTTTAAAAAGAAAAACAACTGCAGCTGGGAGACTAACCGACCTCCCCCCCCCACACCCTCTCTTCCTTCTATACTCCATCCGGAATCGCGTTTCCGAACCATCGGCGATTCGTGGTGGGGAAAGAAGAATAAAAATAAAACCTTTTCGCGCCGTCGTACCGCGTGTTACATACATGCATGTGCCGTGCATACATCACGCACACATCGTGATCGTGTGGCCCATTTACTCGGCGGATCGCGATGGAACACGCCCATTCCGCGCTTATGCAATCGTAAACATCGCGAGCGTCGCCGCCGCCGTTTCACGAAACACGCGAGCTCTCGGCCGACTTCGTGCACAAGCGTCGTTTTTATCTTAAGTCATCGGCGCTGATAGTCAGAAGCGCGTTGTGCTGACAGCGGCTGGCATCCGACGCAGATCGTGTCGAACGTGATTACCCCCCAACGACCCCCTGACGTTCGTGATTCCCCCCGTTTCTCATAAGCGTTACGAAAGGTAACTCGGCGCGGGTGCTCGGCAGTGCAGGAGGAATAATAAGTCATTCAATGGTTAACCAAATACCTGTGCCGCAGGCCAAGTATGAATTGCTAACCAACATACGACAGTGAGTATTAAAAGCGAACGCGCCGCGCGTCGCTCTTGCATAAACGCGCCGTGTCCTTCGAACGCTGCTTTTTGTAATTGACTTATAATTAATGTCGTATACGGACGAGAAAGAGAGAAGCGCGGAGTAGGAGAAATGGAAGGGAGAGAGGGATGGAGAAGGGGGAGAAGGGATAAAGAAAATTTGTATCGATTTCTCGACAACGTACGTAGTACGTCATCGCTGCCTTTTGAACTTCCGTGCCGAAAGGTCATCGCGAGACTCGTTCGTCGTTTATTTGCATAAAGCCGACAGATTCTGGATCGATCGGTTTCTCGTGTTCGACTAAATTTTGATCATTACAATTTCTCCCGTAACCGCCTTTCCTTTCAGACCGCGCTGGAGAACGCAAGTCGTTTGTCTCACTTTGACATTCCTCATCGTCGGGGTGCTGTTTATCACGCGCGCCTGGTTCGGCATACTCCTGCTGAAGGCACCGCGGGCCGACAGATTCGTCGAGGAGCACATTGACGATGCCAAGATTGCTACGTGGCTACGTCGGGCTCGGATGTACGCCGAGTCGACGAAGGAGAATCAGAATGCGGACAGGAACACAAGTGTCGGCGCATCGGAACAACACCACCGCAATACCACCAGGTGAAGGACTGTCCAAACTTTCCATTCATTCTAGATTTATACACATAAAATGTTGGCAGAGCAAGCTCCAAGCAGAATATTGTGACTGATTGGTATTATCTGAATTTGTGATACAAAAGCAATAATATATTACTAATAGTAAATTCAGCAAAATCAATCTATATAACTTTAATTGAAGTATCATATTACTTAAATAATTATTAAAAAAATAATTTCACTGTAAATATCTATGTCAATATATTCTGCTAATAGATTGTTATATTTTATAGCATTTTATATAATTTATTTTTGGTATATTTATCTACTTGTATGTTTTATTTGAAAATTTCTTGGATGTTTAGCCAGGTCCTCGTATGCTACTATACAATACCGGGGGACCTGAACACGTCGTGGGAGCTCAGTCCGTCGCACATTGACCCTCATATTTGTACGCATATTATCGTGGGTTTTGCGAGCGTGGTGAACAATATGCTCGACATAGGCAGTAATGGGCGAGTATACGAGCAAGTAGTTGCTTTAAAGAATTTCGAACCTAATTTGAAGGTCATGATTAGCGCCGGCGGAAACAATGAGCTCCATGATGGTTTCTCCGAGATGGTGAAGAATCACACGAATAGAAAGAAGTATGTACATTGCTTTTCACTTCTATGCATAATATATTCAAGATGTTTTACTGATATCGATATTTATTTCCAGGTTCATTCAATCAGTATTAAACGTAACCAAAACTTACCATTTGGATGGTTTTGACGTTGACTGGGAATTTCCAGCATGGTTAGGAGCGGAAGATCGTGAAAGAATACACTTTGTGCAGCTATTACAAGAATTACGAAAGGAATTTGATCGCAGCGGACAAAAATTGATTTTAACAGTAGCAGTTGCGGCGCCACAGGCTATTGTGGATCAAAGTTATATTATTCCTGTAATGGCAGAGTACGTGAGACACAAAAGAATTATAATACATTTAACGCAATGCAATGTGACTAATAAAAATTAACCTTTTCAGGCACATCGATTTTATAAATCTCATGTCGTACGATTATCATTTCTACGTTTGGTACTTCCCGGTTACAGATCTGAATGCCCCACTTTTTCCTCGTTGTACGGAGACGGGCTATTTATCTACGTTAAACGTAAATTTTTCTGCTCATTATTGGCTAGCGAAAGGAATGCCTCGAGAAAAGATTGTCGTTGGCATACCGACTTACGGACACTCCTATAATTTAGACAATCCGTTAAATCATAATTTACAAGCACCAGCGAACGGATTTGGGAAGCTTGGCGTAAAAGGCTTCGTGTCTTATTCTACGATGTGTCAATTTTTTAAATCCGATGCTATAAGCGTTTTTAACCAAGAAAGTCGTGTGCCGTATGCATTTAAAGGCAAGGAATGGATATCTTACGACAATGAGGAGAGTGTCTATTATAAGGTAGTATATGACTTTGTACTTTGTATGTACTTTGAACAGATTTTTAAAATCTTCCTGTAATATACAATTACGTAAACTTGGTTGAAATATTTATATTGCAGAGTACGTGGATTCGTACCAATGGTTTCAAGGGAGCCATGATTTTATCTTTAAATGTTGACGATTGGAACGGTACTTGCTATGGTACGAACGAGACATTTCCTTTGACACGTACCGTTTCAAAAGTGTTATTTAAAGAGTCTGATAAGTAACAAGATGTCAATAGGATCATAATAATCTAAATATGCGCAGTCAATGAATCTAACTATTCCGAAAGCTTAAAGCTTACATTAAAACGATCCATTCCATCGTATTCCTACTTAAGTATTGATATTTGTACTCTACCTCAGTTGTTCAAAGATTCTTTCATATAAATAAGTTGCTGAAGTATGTTTGAAGCACATAGTATTATATGCTGTAATAGAGCATAGCACTTGA